TAGGTTAAAAAATCCAATCTAGGGCGAAAAAATTTAGTAATAAAATCTCTTTTCAGCACTTTCCAGTGTGACTCAACAAGCATAGTTATTAATTAATTTTATTCCTAGCTTTAATCACAAAAATCAAGATATAAAGAAAGATAATATTACATTTTATTATAAATGTTCACAAAGCCAAGTATTAGAAAATAAACCACGAAAAAATATAGATCCAAACAAACAACAAGATAAAGTATCCATAGAGCAATTTTCCTGTAATAGATTGTTAAAAATTATAATTAGAGATCACCAAATTGCTGATATTAATTTAGTTCATAAAATCTTACATACTCATCCTAATCAGTTTGAAATAGATACAAGCATTAAAGTATTTATTCAAAGAAATATTCTTCAAACACCACAAAGTATATACGCACAAATAGAACAAACATGCCCTAATATAACTTAGAAACAAATACATTACTGGTGGACAGTTTTTATTCGACAAGCACATTTTAAAAATATTGATCAACTAAAATCAGCATACAAATTATTAGTTGAAAATAAAAATGAAATTATTCTTTATGAGTCAAATGCAACAATTAAGTATTTAGCATTTACAACTTCATTTTTTAATACTTTTAATCATAGCCAAGAAATTTTTATTGATGCAATATGTAATGTATATTATTATAATTAACAGCTTTACTAAATTGTACTAGTAGTACTCAACACCGTAGTTAATACATCTCAAAAAACGTACTAGATAACATACTATAATTTAAGTTCCTTAACCTTAAATTATTAAAAAATATGTGGTGTTGAGCAATATTGGTACGATTTAGTAAACTATATAATTAATTTATTTTAGTTATTTGATTTATATATAATTATATTAATTTTATTTTATTTATAAATAGATAAGACGAATGCACTTGGATTTGAACTATATAGTGCCTTGATAAACTATGATGGTGCTGGATTTGCAATAGCATATCTGTTTATTGATAATAAGCGTAAAATTAGCGGACAACATACTCTGATTCTTAAAAATTTTTTTAGTGCACTATATCAAAAAGGATTAAAAAATATTAAATTTTAGTCAAATATCAGCAGCACAATTAGTTTGGACTATAGGCAAAATACAGTTATGTTTTTGGCACGCAAAGAGAGCAATTAAAAAGCGATTAGCTGATAATTCTAAGCCAGCAATTAATTATAATATAGAAGAAATATGTAAAATATTTGAATATATGGATTTTAAGTTTTGCTTATGATCCTTTAGATATTGATCAGCACGAAAAAAAAAACAAAAAGCTTATTTTGAGTTTTGCCCCAAAGAGTTTAGAAATTCAGTTTTAACGCTTTATGAAGCTCATTATCATTTACATCCATTAATTCCTAATGAAAATAAAGTATTTTTAACAAGTGAGGAAATATGGAGTAACTCTGTTAGAGAGATGTATCAATTCTGTTATGAGAACGGTTTGAAATACCTTTGGATTTATTTTTGGAATAGTTGGTATAAATATGAAGTATGGCAACTATGGGCTCGCGCTTCAAATAAGCATGATATTAGTATATTAAAAACAACTATGCTAGTTGAGTCACACTGGAAAGTGCTGAAAAGAGATTTTATTACTAAATTTTTTCGCCCTAGATTGGATTTTTTAACCTA